CTAAGTTCATGCATGATTGACATGTAAAGTTTGATCTTGCCTGTAGACAGCAAACAATCCATGTCTGACTGACCACACACTGTACACAGCTGTACATGCAGCAGCACCCCTTTGGAGTCTCCAGGTATTGTTGGCCTAACCAAACACGGGACCTCTTCTGAGTGTCAGAACCTGAGCAGCCTTTGTCAACAATCATCAATATTAACATGAGAATGAAGTTGCACTTCGCCAAGCATGCATGGCAACCGCCTTAATATTGTGCATGCTCGAATGAAAAACAGAGCCAGAAATCACAGAGACCAAGCATATGACTTTACTGAATTATTATTCTGATAAAATGGATATTTGAGAGGAATGACATAAATACATGTACTTTATCTGCTGAGAGCGGCATACATGTAATCTCTGTGTGTAAAAAGAATACAGGAAACGTCCTTTAAGATGCATCGAAGTAAAAAGTTCCTGATCACATTTGAATCATTTAAAACATCCCTATAAATAAATATGCCATGAATCATTCATCAATCTAATCTTTGTTGCTTAGAATGAGATTATAAAAAATACATTTAATTGGACTGGATAACTAATTCTATAATTGCATGTGCACTACAAAATGATATTTCTTTCAAAGCACCTTTGAATTGACAAGGAAATTACTCCACTCTATTCTTCATGGATAAAACACAAAGGAACAAACAGTCATTGTAGATGTACACATGTACATTCTAATCTCCTTACAGGATAATCTCAAATTTCTGAAAAACAAGAAGATTAAGATTCAAGGAAGAGGGAAGAGAGAAAAAGAATGTTAACTTAAAGAAAAGAAAAATAAAGCTCTCATGCTGTAGCCTCGTCTCTCTCTACTTTCCATCCAAACAAGTTCAGTCGGAGTCAGAGATCAAGGCAAACAAGATGAAACCTCATTGTAAATATTGACATCAGAATGCAAGTCATGGGTTCTCTCCACCATCCCTCCTACCAAGTTTTAACCAATAAATATTAAAGTCTTCCCAGAAAAATACCACAAAAACAAAATTACAAGACAAGAGGGGATAAAAAGGGCTACCATAAGGAGTCTGACCCAAGCCCCGGGAGTGACTCATATTGCTGGTATTTTCAACATCAAAATGTGACTAACTGCAGTAACCTTTCCATAACCCCTCCCTTATGAATTCTCTTTGAGTGCTACTGAGTAAAAGCTTGATTTCTTGATGAATTGTACAATCAGAAAGTCAGAGAAAAGGTCAAAAGTTCCGTTTAAGCCTTCTTGCTGTGAATGTATTTGTAGATTTGATTAACAAATTGAGTTTGAGAATTGAGGTTATCATTATGTCAACAAATTGATTTTGAGAATTGATGTTATCATTAAGTCATTAATATTAAAGGTTAAAATTTAAAACATCTTTCCCTTATGCAAAATACATTGTAACTAATATTTAAAAAAACAATTCAAAAGATTTTTGTTTACAAAAGGTTAGTCATCAAAAAGTTACCTACATGTATACTGTACATATATATTTGTCCCCTTCTTTGTGCAGTAGATTATTTCTCTGAATACAATGCAAGTACATGTATATGTTTTATTTGTTTTTCATGTATTCCAGTGGCAATTCTATTGTAATGACAACTGAATGCCACAGGGGTGTCAAACATAACCAATACTGTACTTGAAGAATCCATGGTTCTGCACAGTTAAAGAAGCATGCGTCATCGATCAGTTGAATAGAGTTAAGACGGGTTTAAGTTCTTTTGTTCTCATATTACATAGATCTGTGTTAAGCATCAAAACCTATTCAAAGTCTCCTGTGATACAGCTGTGTATTTTGTTTGTTTCTACATCTCCTTTTCCTGTTTACAAATTTGGGGAGGAGATACTTTCTCTTTCTACCATGACAAGAAGCTGGTGATTAGTGGTAGGGTCCATAACTTATAGGGAGGACTAAAAAAATAACCACACAGGGCCCAGGTTACTTCCGTAGTGTAAAGGTTCTGGTTTAAACAAATCATTTTAAATAAACAAACTTCAACAAATATCTCTTTGGTACAAGAAGGTATAATAGTGTTTACAGGATGTCATTACTTGTCTCTATCAGTTACCGGCTTGGAAAAGGGGGACAGATTTGCCTTACTGAAGTACCTGAAAGTTTTGGGCCATTAGTTGGAATAAAAGTCCTATTACAAATTTCTGCTTCTCATTCTTACAACAAAGTACATTTCTTCAATTGACATTGACATTAACATCAATTTTCATTTTTCAATGTTGGAATTTTAATTACAAAGGTAGAACTCTAAGAAATAGGAGTCTGAGCATTATGGTTTATAATCATGAAGTCTGAACTGTAAATTGACATGGAGAATACAAAATCTAGTTTATAATTCTTCAAAATATTCAAACGGTCATTTCAGGAAAAAAATATAAAATAATATAAATCACATTTAAAAAATGGCTTTGTGTATGAAGACATTGTTATAAATTGTGAATAGCAAACTTAATTAGCTTTTAAAAGAACTTTTAAAATACATTCAGGTGCTCCAACTAAGTCCATGTACTTCTAAGTTCTATCACATTTTTCTCTATACATGAGTTGCTTTTTATCTGTCTGTCACTCCCTTTCTTAAGCTCTGAGACGCACTTTTACTTGCACTCCTACTTTTCCAAATTCAAATGATTCAGCGTCTTAAGTTCTAAACATCTTTGTTACTATCACTCTACATCAAGAAACGGATCAATACAATGATAATAGACCCCTATTCTAATAAATTAAAGCCCATCCCATCGTGCTGTCAATTATCATCTAAGGTTGTTACCACTTTACTCAAATTCGTTGATGTTTTCCTCCTTGAAATACTTAGAGAAGAGATGTACATAAGAGGATAATCTGTGGATTGGCATATCATGACTGTTCTCCTTCAGTGTCAGGTGCCTGACCTTCCTGGAGAATAACAAGTAGTTTCTAAGACGCGTTCACACATGACAATATAAACTGCCTCAAAAGCTGCTACATGTAAGTATGACCAACAACTAAAATTATTTGTACAAAAGAATGACAAGTGACAGTGAAAAAGAAAGTAAATGCCATCAAAAAGGCCCCAAAGCCCACTCACTTTTTCTCACCATGTTATAAAAAAGATACATGTATACAGAAATATGTAAAGCACTAGGCGGATCAATGCCATTTTCTTTTGCTGATGCAGTTCACCATGTCACATAGTTATATGTGAACAATGCTTTTAGGATGGCAGAGAACTATTTCAAGAAGAGATCAATATCCTTTTATGATGCAATCTTTTGATTGCGAGCAAGAGGGCTATTGTTGTGCAACTGTTTGAAAATACCTGAAGGTGTGCTTCTGCCTATTCTTATTTTGGACATATAACTGACCCGCTTGTCAATCACTAAACTAAACTCTACTTTAAAATATACCAGGTAGGCTCTTTTAAATTCAAGGTTAGACTCAGTTGCTACTTTTACAACAAATTCTGATGCTCATACCTGTACAATGTAAATGATAGTACCTCAACCCCAAAACAATAACAAATAATGGGAAACAATACATGACCAGTGCTTCTACCTACACTGTTATTTAGAAACAATTACAATACCGGGTATGCAACTATTATAACATATTTAGCATAATAAGGTTACATGAACAGTCTAAATGTACTGTACAGTATTACATTTTTGTATATTACTGATACATGTATATGGACTGGATGTCTACTCTATGGAGGGGAAGCCATCATGAGTAAGAGTAAGTCTTGTTTATAATTTCATAAACATACACCTGTACAATGTAGTACTAGTAGTATGGTATGATGAGATCATCTGTTTTGAAAAAGTTATTAATTACATGTACTTTTGGACAGAATTTTAAAAAATGTAAAGAAAACTTTTATCTCTTTCAAGCCAATTTAGCAAACCACAATAAAGCTTTATTCTGAAGAAAAAAAATTAAAAGTCTTTGTAAGAATTATATACTGTACATGCAGAAACATGTAGACACTGTGATGAAAAATTAATTTGACAAGCCATTTGTAAAACAAAACATCAAAAACGTACTGAAAACAGCATACCCTGTAATTTGCCAATATCATTAACACGTACATGGGAGAACAACAACTGATATTAAATGCATTTTTCTTAACTAAGAATTTAATAACATTTAACAAAATAAAAAAATGTTAAAATTTACTATATCCATCTACTGTACATACATGTATGTAATAGAAAGTTATCAATCATAGATCCCTTGATGGAGATTCCTTATTTGAAAATGTCCGGTTTCCTTGCTCACAAACCCTAAAGGTAAATGTATTTTATGCCATGGTCACTACTCAATACATCACTTTGGCTTCTATTTTTTTTAATTTGCCAACAAGGGAGTAAAAAAAAAAAGTGGTCTCCATGTCTTCAAATTCCTCTCAACACAGCCTTTTTAGGAAGTGTTGTGATTAATCCCATTTTTTAGTTGCAACCAATTCAGATCTCGTTCTAGTATCAGACAGAGAACATGGCCAAGATTTAATAATAAAATACCATTTAACAGTGATAAGAATTACACTCTGAAATCAAACATTGATTGATCAAACATGGACCCTACCCTGATTAGAATGAACATAAAACATTACATTATTCATCGGTTGTTTTTATTTTTAAGGAGATAGAGAGGGGAAAAACAAAGAATGATAGATCTAGATCTAAAATAGATCTACCATTGAATTCCAAACTTTCCAACATAAAACTTGAGGCACAAGTTCGAAATCAGACACAAAATGCACAACTTCCAATGTCACTGCACTACGCACCACACGATCTCAACACTTCCCTGCACCCTGCTCAAATGGAACGGCCTACAGCTACATCAGGCTGACGAGCGGAAGAGGTACCCGTACCGCTCGGCTCTACAACCCCAGTACCGTTACCAATACCAGTACCACACTAACATAAAAATAAAAACTTCCATCACAAAGCATCCCGATATAATAGAAGCAAAGCTCACCTTAATGTACTTGATCGAGAGGTGTTACAGTATCACATTAAAAGTTTCATCTGATTCTTAAAACTACGAATTGAATGAAAAAGAAGAGTTATATCAATTGAGAACAAGCAGTCCAGTGGTGGTCGGTCAATGATGTGCTGATTATCATGTCAACAAAATCAAACAACAATCATAAATTGAACTTCTCGAGAGAGGGCGCTCGACTAGAAAGGAACTTTTGACTAAGTATAGCGGTAGTAGTCCGCCCCGTTTTGACAGAAGCAAGAGATGAGAGAAACAGTCCATGGTGAAAGTTTGAGCGAAACCAGATTAATTTTCGAAGTTGCAATCAGTCAGACGAAAATTGGCAACTCTGTGACGTATGATGCAAGCTTCCCTCCCATCTGCCCTGTTCCGAAAATAGAAATACAAAATCCATATTTTCCCATAAAGAAAATTTTCAATCATATATATACAATTATTGTAAATATGTTTTTATTCAAACCTTGTATGAAGCAAATCTCTTCCGTCATAAATAACCCCCAAAAAATCAAAGTTTATGACATTTTCTGTACAGAGAGGAGCTCGCATAATACATCATACTGTTACCAATTTGTGTTCCACTGATGACAGCTTCAAAACTTCATAACTTTTCTTTTCTAATATTTATTGGAATTTGCTCAAACTTTCACTAATTTTCCTTTCTCATTTTTCTTAAAATGAACTTAATATTAAGATGGACTTTCCCTTTAATAGCACTTTTTTAAAACTTATGTAAACAAACAAAAAGTCAGTTGGATTTGAAGTTGCTTTGTTTTCCTTACCATAACATGACTTTACAAGCATGATATGAATGGTGAACCATTTTACTTTTCCCAGCAAATCCTATTTACATCTTCTCTGAAAATGAATAAATTATTAAATTCTTTTTACCAAATAGGTTCATCTCCTGAGGCTGCCATCACAGTCAAGCTCTAGCTTAAGATGGTGGTTTCCTGCATTTTTCAATTTTGAAATGATTTGTTAACTATGTTTTTTTAATAATGATTGAATTGGTTTAGATTATTATATGATTATATATATGTGTATTTGATTTTTTTGTTAATAACACATATGTACATAGTTTGTTTATTACATTCTATTATGTTGAAAATGCAGAAATAAAATCAAATAAACGACTAGTTAGTTTCACTCAATTTTCCAGCCCAATACCCTTTTCAAATAAATAAAACCCATTGTCTGTGATCCAAGCTTTAAATTCCTTAACTCATTAATGTTTTGTTTCTCTTCCTCTCTGCTTCTCTGCTTCTCAAGTGCCCTAGACAATCCTGCCAATATATTTATATGCATCTCTGTCCCATCAGCTATGATTACAATTTTGTTTTGAATAAATTTTAAAATAAAAATCTCTGTTTAGAGTTATATTATGTATGTATTTTAAAGTAATATCTAATAGAGAATACCGGAATGCAACCCTCCCATACAGAGAGAATGTTTGGGGATCAGACTTTTTTAGCCCCCCTCCCCCCCCCCCCCCCCCTCTCTCTCTCTCTCTCTCTCTCTCTCTCTCTCTCTCTGTCAATATTACAAATAGTAAGGCTGTATACAATTTGAAACTTTGAGCCAATGGTTATAAAATAGCCAACAAACAACAAATAGCTTTCTGTTTACATACAAAAACTTTCAGGAAGAAAAAAAGTGTCACTCTCCCAGCACAAGAAAAGAGAGAGTATTGTGAATTGTGTCTAGTTCACTTGATCATTGCTATAATAAAAATTGTTTTTTGCCAAAGTCACAATGTTCATTTTTGTCTTGTTATAACTATTCATTTGCAGGGGAGGGTTTCACAAAGACTAAGATCAACTTTAAGTTGGACTTAACTATGGCAGGCTGTTCATGCCACTGGTTGCTCTCATCAATGGTCTCTCAATTATGATCTATAGATAATATTTTTTCCTTCAATAACAAACTATCAAAAAAGGTAAATTCTGTAGATTTGTGACCACAACTTGTACGTCCCTTGAAAAACCATTGCCAGGAATGGTTAGAGGACCTAGTGGCATGAAAGGCCTGCCATAGTTAAGATCAACTTAAAGTCTATCTTATTCTTTGTGAAACACTCCCCTGGTCATATATATATATATATATATATATATGACATCCATTATAACTGGGAGGTTACAGCCATTACTCAATGGCTATGGCTGTTTTACATTCATCATTGAATATTTTAATAGTTACATACAATATTCATTCAATCACAATCAATACCATAATCACATACACACCTTTTTACAAATAACTACCAGAGTCATAAAAATACTTTATCATCTTCTTTTTTTATTAACATAAATTGACAATAAGTATATACTGCAATATTTACATATATTTTCCAATCATACCTATGCTTATTATAAGCATAGAATATTCTTACCGGTACTCTAAAATAGCCAAAACATTTTTACAAGTTGGTTTAATTTGCAGATAATTATCACAGCAGACAAAGTCTTGAGGACACATGATTTCCTATTTTCTACACCTTCTACACTTTTTGATATGCCCATGTTAGCTGCTGTATTTTCTTAGCATGTTCATCTTTAGAAACAATACACTGTATAATAGGCACGCTATATTGTTGCTGAAATGATCTACAATGTACACTTGCTACAAAAGAGGTTTTCTGGACTTTGATTACTTATTGAATCTATGACTTGAATAAGTTATGCTTGTATTACTGCCCCCACTTGTAATGAAAGAATTTTAAATTAATGAACGTTTTTTTCTTAACAAGCGATTTGAAACAAATATTTGCCTCTGTTACAGTAATATAAAATAATATAACAAATGTTGAATGGTAAGTATGGTTCATCCAAAATATATATCCACAGGCTTTCCATATAAAACACAAAATAAACAATGAAAAACTCTGAATACAAAGATACATACATATATTCTCAGACAAGTCACATACAATGAATCATTAACGAAACATCACCCTTTTTTCAATACCATGGAATATGTACATACCGGTAGGTTTATTCTAGACCATTCTATTGTAGAATAATTTCAACAGATTAAAGGCACAATACATCGTTGTATTCAAGAGAGTAAATAGTAATAAATATATTCTAGATCAATGTTTTTGATGTTCAACCCGACACATATTTCCAATTAGATTTAATAACCAGGACTCTTTCCCACCACCATATCTGACATTGAGTTCATTAATGCATAACAATAAGTTTGACTAAATAACATAACGTTTTATGCTATCTTTTATTCCAAACAATCTGTGGCCTGGGCCAGCAAATATTGCATACGCTCTGCAAATGTTATCATTCAACCCTACACACTACTTCTGTGTCTTGCTAAACCTTAACAAGAAATGAGAAACCTTACCCATGCATTATAAAAAATGATGATCCGGAATTCTGCGTACGCATTCTTATATTGATACCCATAATGAATTGAAGTGCTGTACAAATTTTGATGTTAGTACGTGTATGTCCTAAATAAGCATCCCCATGAAAAAAAAATCTGAATATCCCTTTTTTCATATTTTCTATATTTTTCTTGAGTGCTATACATACATGTATATGAATTGTATATGAATTATTGAATGTAGCTCATTCTAAAACTACTACCAATACAAAAAAAAATTCCTGTATCAATACTAATCAATTTCAAGGTGACACAAAAATTGGTCCATCCATACATTTGCAAGAGAAGTTCTGTTCTTAAGTTGATTAGTGCATGTTTTAGTACTATTCAGAGTACATTTATCAGCATTGTTTATTCCCAGCCTTCAGCACTATGTATGTTTCTCTGTCTGCCACTGTAATTCCTCTTGAAATCATCATCAAACAGTTCCAGGTCTTGCTCGTTTCTGATAACACCCTAGAGAAGAAAAGAGAAAAATAATACAAATTATTTTAAAAGGATCAGGAACATTTCTTTGTGTTCAGGAAATTAATATGTAACTATACAAACATGTTAGCAATCAGTAGACAGGTTTACTAACATATTCAAATTGTACGCATACCATTTACACAAAGGTTGTTTATGACAACCTGAAAGCTTGCTTGATGCTTGCCCGACATTGCAACAAGTAATTTATGCAGACTGGATTTGAAGTAATGTAGTTCATTCCTTAATAATAGGTTTATGGAATAACTCATCACTGGGTCCCCAGGAAAGAAACATCCTTAAAATTGAATATGTTAGTAAACCAAGCCATTCAGATGGTGTTCAACACTGTGTATCCTCAGGAATAAGCACTTTATGATCCAATTTTATTGAAGATAAAGTTGAGTTCTGGTCATGCGATTGCATTGTGAAAAAAACGGTGTGGAATCGATCAGAAAAGGTTGATCATGTAGCAGCATATAAGTATTAGTGTGTACTGCCAAAATGTGTACTATCAAAATGATAAGAAATTTGGCCCAGTCTTGGTAAAAGTATCAGGCACTGTACACAGAAAGATGTATATGGCACTACACAAACATGTGGCATAAAAATGAGGCCAACATTTTTAAGCTGTTACATGTCATATTTAGAATATGAAGGCATTTGAAGAGCAATACTTTTTCAGGGAACATTTTTCTCTAATGTTCTTCCACTTTTGCATAATAACAATAAAAACGCTCCAAAATTATTTTTCACCTCTCCCCAGAACTCAACCTTCTCTTTGAATGTTGCATTAGGCAATAGAAATGTCATGTTGAAATCCTACCCTCTCACTCACTCAAATTCAATATATCAAGAGTTTAATTCCAAAAGGAGCTACATCCATTTTTGTAACTTCTGAGAAAAAAGAAATTGTTTACCAGATTTTGTATAGGCGTCTATGGAAAAATGATATTAGAAGGTGCATTTTTTATAATTGCTCCCAAAATGTAGGTAAATAATTTTTTTGAAAGACGGGTACTTTAGTGAACAATGTTCTGATATCAATAACTTACTTTGAATTAAAATTGGATTTAGCTCCTTTTGGAATTAAACTCTTCAGATTATTATACAGATCTATAGACAACAATGATTGATAAAGAATAAAGAGCCAAGTTTACCTTTGGCAGGAAACCCAGGAGCTTGGATGCATGCTCCTTGAGGAGCCTCTGTCTCTCCTCCTCGATGATCTGCATACGGAGCCTCTCCAGGTTCTCAGCCTCCTCGCGCTCGTCCCTCTCCCTCTCCTTGTCTGCTGCAAACTGGGCACGACGGTCTGCGAGAAGGTCTTCTACACGGCGCTTGTGTTCCTGCTGCTTCATGCGACGACGTTGGGCATTCATCTGCTCAATGCGATCATCCTCCTCAAACTTAGCCAGCATCTAAAGAGAAAGATACAGTTGTGAGGTTACAAATTAATGTTGATTTAGCTAGGCATTTGTCACAAGTGAATTCAATGCAAGAACTCAGCGATAGACTATTTGATCATGATTTACATCTTTATTTTGTTTAGAGCAATACTTCTAGTTCATACAGTAAACAAGTATTGTCTTGACTGATTGAATGAGAAGGAATACAGGATTTAATTGGATCAATTAAGTCCAATTATTTAAGAAAAGAAAGCACCTGACATTGCGCTAACATAAAAATTAACCAAAAAATGCTTGGCATTCAAACATTAAGATAAGATATACATGAATCTTCATCTACATGTACAACTATTTTTAATCTAAAAAGAAAAGACATGATGAGTGGAGCAGTTTGGATCAAAAATGATTCTCAATATGGATACATTGGCTGCTGAAAGTGTTCATGCACTTCAACACCATGTTAAATATACTAGCTATGTCCCTTTTGCAGCCAGCATCAAATTCCGTAGAACTTTGTAGGAATTACGAATGCGTCATGTTTGTCCTATCTGTGAAATTTAAACATTTGCAGTGTCCTAGTATTCAAATTATGAAAGGAAACCTGTTTACCTTCTAGACTTCACTGTCAGACACTATTGAGTGACTGACTGACATATTGTTTGCTTTGGTAATAACATACATAAAATGAGCTGTAACAGGTACATGAGCATTTTTCTACAACAATAACCCACTATTTCTGATGGCCAAAATTAAACAGATTGAGTCTTTGTGCAGCACAAAACGTATGACCATTCAGTAAAAGGGTCTGAAAATCAGGTTGTTATTTTCCCACTAAAAGCCATTTTCAAGCCCTTTTGTTTTGAGGGAAGTTCTAAAATAGTATCGTCTTTGAAATGCCGCTGGAATTTAACCTTTTTGTTTTGTTGGCCTGCAAATGGGACATAGTACCTTTAATAACAGCCTTCTGGCTCTCAACACAGAAAGTAATGATAAAATGGTCTGTATATAATATATTTTCATATGTAACTTACCTGGCGCTTGAACTCTTCTTCCTCGCCCATCTCAGCCTGCCTGCGCATTCTCTTGAGTCTGAGCTGCTCCTGATAGGTCTTCTGGAGCTCCAGTCTCTGCCTGATCTGCCTCTCAATCTCGGCCATCTCCTTCTGGCGCTGTGTCTCCTCCTGCTCCTCGTGGTAGAGCTCCTCCCTCACCCGCTCCATCTCTTCTTCCATGGCACGCTTCCTGGCGATGTCATCACTCAACTGTAGGGTGGAAGGAAAGAAAAGATAAATTGAATGTCATTCACGGACTACGGAAGTCAAACCAGCATACTGGGGGGGGGGGGGGCGTTTCACAAAACCTTTTTCCAATGACAAATGACAAAAATCAGTGACAACTTTACTAATAACCAATCAGAAGCAAGGATTCAGTAGCTTATAACTAAACCGGTCATTTGTCACGGATGACAAGTTTTGTGAAACGCCCTCCAGATCACTCAAGGGAAGCACACAATCACTTTCTACACAAAGGTGATCTTTACATACAAGTTATATTTTATGAAAGGTTTTCCACCAAGAAACCTTAGTAGACAGATGGCCCTCATTCCCCTACTTTGATTAAATCTGACCCTGGGTCTGAAATCATATTTAGCCAAACGGAAACGTAATTCTCCTACTAATTTCTTTTGTAAAATCTGAGTTTGGACAAGAGCCTACACCCAGCAATAGATTTAAATTTCATAAGAAAACAGACAATATAGTTTTTAAATAAAGGTGGTTGCTAGAAGAGGAAGTAGTTACAGAACGGTAACTTGAATTTGAATCTTTGACAAAAACGGTATGCACTGAACACTCAAGACTTACGTTCTTCTGGACCGAAGCCTTGGCCTCCTCCTGCTGCCGCTTGTTCTCCATTCTATCCTCTTCCCTGTGCTGTTGGAGTGTGGCAAACTTGAGGATCTCCATGTTCTCTTGCTCCATCTTCTGTCTCTCCAAGTCCTTCCATTTTTGCCGGGCGACTGCATCCTCATCGATGTAACGCTTGGTGGCATGTTGCTTCTCATAGTAGATCTCCCTTTCTCTGTGCGGATTTAGACCAAGATAAGACTTTGGTGATTATTATCTCTTCTTTTGAGTATCATAAAACAAATTTGTTCAACATTGGAAATCATAAACCTTATATAAAATGTGTCTTGTGCGCCGTCCTCTACTTTGCAAATATGTGTAAATACTGTCTAACTGTATAAATATATATATATATTTATACATGTGTTAAAAACAGATATTTGCCGCTTTATTAAATATTTCTTTCTTTTCTGATTGAATTAATTTCTTAAAAGTTCGTTTGAATTTTTTGTCACCAGACATTTGTTGTAATTGGGTATGTTAATGTTATCAACATTTCTCATTTATACTTCTATCACAGAAAAATAAAAACCAATATTTCTTAAAGCCATCATTATTACATACAGTTATGCATATCTCTACGACGTTCATTCCATAAAAAAAAAATAGAAATTCAATTGGTACCTTTCATCCTCTTCATGGATCTTCCTCACAATCTCATCAATCATGAGCTTCTCCTTGAGGAACTCCTCGTAGTCCTCCTGTTTCCTCTTCTCCTTCTCCTCCAGCTGTTTCTCCAGCTCCTGCTGGTAGTGCACACTCTCCTGGTACTGCTCCACCAGCTTACGCTGTTCCTGAGATTCAGCACGGGCCGACTCGTCCATCATGAGACGAGCGATCTCGGCGTCACGTGCCTAATAATTGAAAGGAAGAGTAATGTGTTGAATACTATGATTGCAATGAGACAGAGTATCATGTTGAAATGATTGGTGCAACTGTGCATTGCAGCGACACATATAATTATTCTGCAATTAGAGAAAGACAGAAAACCAGAGAGAGAGAGAGAGAGAGGGATAACACAGACTGACCGTTCCCAATCATGTAGTAATTTACAAAGGACTTGTACTGTAATTGCTTCTTTGTCTAATATACGCTGGACTATGAACATTGTTTCAAGGTTAATATAGATTTTTTTCCCCCTCAATACTGAACTGTCAATACATACAAAATAATACAGCACCTTTTTGCCGCCGAAAAAAATTCAAAGTCGGGGGTAGGGTTTATACACGGTACACCAAAAAAAAAAAAAAAAAAAAAAAAAAAAAATTTAAAGTTTCGATTTATGCCCCTCCACCTGGTGCTATGCCTGGCAATGTCTCCCAGCTCAGTAATAGGTGTGTTGACTCACTACTAGGAAACTAGAACAACACTCAAATTTGTCTGTCATCTTGGTTTGAAAGTAATCTTTCTGATAGATCTCAATATGTAGTTTATAATAATAATTCCTACACATGGTGTACCACAAGGTTCTATCCTAGGTCCTCTACTGTTTTTTTAATTAACATTAATGATCTTACACATTCAGCTGCACCTCGCAGTTAAATGAAAGGCCTTCCCGCATGGGTTTTTATTAACACGGACCTGGCTTGTTTTTTTTGTTTTTTTGTTTGTTTTTTTTAGGGCGAAAAAGAGGGGTGCGGTTAATACACGAGGGCGGTTTATACAACGTTAATTACGGTAATCACTCAAAATGGGCAAATTATACATGTCCTGAAAGCGTAGACCAATTCGAACACACACATTCTGCTCTAAAGTCTTGTAAATATAAATGAAACGCGGTAAGAAGCTTTTTCCAAGAACTTTCTCAGAACATCTATTCCTGGATTGAAAATTTTGTTTGAGCAGTAGGCCGATTATGACGTCACTGGTTGGGCACGATTGCAATTCGAGGCCTCAAGCTCGCCTTTCACACAGCTTGCGTGCGGTATTTTGCATATAAACGTTTACATTGTCCAGACTTCGCATGCTTCATATACTGACCAGAAAGTGGAATAACAGTCTCTAGAAATCATGTAATTACATATAATATTAAGCAGGGCTTAAATTAATCCAAGGCCACCAAGGCCATGGCCGTGGATGCCCTTTTGATTGGCCTCAATGCCATTCTCATTGGCCTTGGAGAATTGTTGTGCCATTTCCAATTCTTCCTATTTGTGCTGTAATATAGGAATGTGTCCTACAGAAAAGTGGCCTTGCCCTAAACATATTGAAATTTAAGGCCTGATTAAGCAAATTTATGTAATATAATACGAGGGGTGAATCGTGCAATTTGATTTGTCCAAATACCCTTCCGTTCTGTGTAATTTGCTGAGATGTTTTGTATTTGTTCGGTTATCATGCCTTGGCATGATAGTGATTGCTGTTGATTATATACGGAGACCATGATGAGTGAATCGCGAGTGTCCCTTTGCATTTTTATGATGTTCTATTTATGAATGGCGATTTCAGTGTAGTTGATTTTTGCCAAATATAATCTCACATCTAATTTTGTTTTGTTATCCGTGAAATTTGCCAAAAAGCCCTACACATCCCGAAAAATTAGAAAGTGTCTCGCCCAATCACCCCAGTGACAGGGTGCATGACAGATCGATCGCCAGTTGAGCAGGGCCGGGGGAGCTGAGCGGCAGCTGGCAACTCAGCCAGCTCGCGCTGATATGCTATCACTTGACTTGCACCAGCATCGACGCCGTCTCCTCCGAATTGTTCTCTTTCTTCCATCCCTCCTACACCCCATCATCATCATCGTCACTATCACTATCACTACCAGTACCACTAGTTATGGAGCTGTGCTCATCAACTTCGAATTCTAAATCAAGCAAAACCTCTTCTTCGACCCGGACATTTTGATCAGATATTTAGTGTTTGAGTGGCATTTGTATACGTATAATGCATGCAGCGCAGGCGAGAGTTGTGTGAGAGCTCTAGGGAGCACTCTCGCGCTCGATCATGTGCCCAACCTAATACGTCACAAATCGTATGTCACAATAGTGGGCCGATCAAGAGCGGAATAATCGGGTAGTAATTTCACCACTTTTAATAGCGGATAAATCAATTCTGTAACAATTTTTGAAAACTAAATATGAACCATTAGAAATATTGTAATGTTAACTTTGCAATGATACCAACATTATTAAGGTTAAAAGCCTTTTGAAACCTTCGCTCAGCTACTTTAAGCAAGCAAAAGATTGACAAATATAAATATACATGCAGCAATTCATATATTTTTCAGCTTACCGTCTTCTCATATTTGCTGGCCTCCTTCTCCGCAATTTGTGCTGCCCTCTCCCTGTTCATGTATCCTGCCCTTAGCTTAGCCTCTAGCTCCCTAAGCTCCAGGCTGTTCTCCCTAATCTGTTGGCGAACCTTCTCCTGGCGTTGGGTCTCCAGCTTGAGCTGCTGGAGCCTGTTGGTTATACGCTCCTCCTGCTCCATCTGTTGCTCCCTCTGAATCCGGTCTTGCTGAGCCTGGAGAGAAAAGGGAGTAGAGACAATTACATTTTAATACAGGATTATTAACTTTAAGTCCATATACAGGTACATCCTAATTCGCTTGAATGTACTATTCTTTGAGTGTTTATAATGGCAGTGTTTGAATTGTGTACATTATTGTCTTTATCTGCTGGAAAGTATAATATCATAAAGCTTTTCTTTTCTTTTCATATCTACAGTATATGAGCTATTTAAGATTTAGACACACAGGATCTACAATGTCATAGTAAAAGTTTTTGTTTGATTCTTCTATTTCACTGAAAATGTTGTAATCTCACCATCGAGCTGTAATCTTAAATTGTATAATTCTTGCATGGAATTACTACAATCACAGCTAGTGTATTAAAAGAAAAATTGTGCCCTAGCTTGGGAATAATCTTACCTTTAATATAGATTCTGACATGTTTCTTTCCATTTCCTCTTGTTGGACCCTCCTGATATGTCTCTTATTCTCCACCCTCTCCTCACTGGCCATGTTCGCTTCTAGTACTTTCTCATTGGCAAGTCTTTTCAGGTGGTCCTCTCTGGTGTCTTCCTGGTGTCTTGCTTGTACCATCATGCGCTCCTGGGTCGCATGGGTCAGGTTTTGTCTCCGGGTGGTCGTCTGCAGAAGTAAACATCAACATTTATGAAAGTGGCAGCTGGTTAAACTGAATAAAACTAAATTCAATATTCTTCCATTGTCATAGAGCTAGAGCGTATTTTTTTAGTCATCATAAAACCACAAACTATTTAGGCAGAAGATACCTGCAATGAACCTGTAGATCTAGATCTCTAACATCTACCCCCCTCCCCCTATTTCTGCGCATGAAGGAAGATGACGTCATCCAGGGGTGGATCTAGCTTTTTGCTCAGGGGGGGGGGGGGTTGACCAATAATGACGATGCAGAGCATCGTTCACGAGCCGCGAAGCGGCGAGCCGATTTTTTTGGGGTGTTTATTTGAACCCCGTAAGTGATGTTTTCCTGGCATCTATTAACACAATGGAGACCATAAAAAGCAGTGAATGATAACGTCTTTTTAAATCAAGTAACAGTTAAATACACAGTTATATCCAGAGTTATCATGTGTTTGGTTAAGTTACCAGATGAGTTGAATATCTTCTCACAATATTTGCACTTGAAAGGGTTTCCCTCCAGCGTGCGTTCTTTTTTCTTTCTTTTTTTTTCTTTTTTTTTTTCCTTTTTTTTTTTTTTTATTTTAATGTGGGGATTTTGGGGATGAGAATCGGCAACGCTGGCCTAGCTTGTCACTTCGGCGGTGGCCCGTGTCCTCAAAAAAGCTGATGGGGGGGGGGCAAGGGACTCTGTGACATTTGTTCGCCCAACCCCCCCCCCCCTCCCCCCAAAAAGAAATAATAATAATAATAATAATAATAATAATAATAAATGAAATGAATACATAGAAATAGAATGAAATAAAATTACAAGTTTTAAAAAAAAGAAAAGATTTAAAAAAATGGTCCCCGGATTTTTTTTTTGGGGGGGGGTTGCAACCCCCCCAACCCCCCCTCTAGATCCGCTTCTGTCATCCATTGACAGTAACAGTTTAAAATACAGCTGCAAGATTTTCAACACAGAGTTCAATTTCGACGAAGAAAATCCTGAAAAAAGACCCTTAGGGCCCAAGGCTTAGGCTTAAACACGTTTTGGTGGCTCAAAGTACCACCAACTTAACGGACAGCAGACCCATGCATTGGCCGGCTTCTGTGTCTAGAATAAAGTCAAGAGAGGAGCCGACCGGGACCCTACCTAGTTGATTGATAGTTAAACTGTCAAGCTAGTTGAGTCTAATCAAATGTCAATGTCAATGAGACGATTTAATTTTTAATGAAATCTTGTTTGATTTGTTGCCTAAAATTAAAAGTTGAAATGATCTGTCTGATCTGGATAACCAGTCTACTAATTACATGTACCATGGAGTCTAGTTGAACAAAAGCAATTCTCACCATGTTGATGACCTCCCCAGCAGTAGGGTCTAGTGACTAAACTTAGAAATCTTCAAAACTACTCGATCCAGACAGTCACTTGATTGAACGTTTGTCCTTATCGTGCGTGGACGGTGGAGGCCGAGGTGTATGATTCTTGCACTGCTGCCAAGTGCCAGTGCTGGAGTTCACGGTGACAGTCCAATTGTACAGCCTACAGGAGCATTTCCCACTAACTGTTTCCTTTTATTTGAAGTTGGATACGAATTCTCTTTCTTGAAGTTGAAGTGAGCAGTTGATAGTTGCGGGAATGGTCAACGACAGTCTACAGTCATGACAGTGTAAATGCACACACTTCTACATACGTTGCAGCAGTATGCGTGCAATATGTATACAATTCTTCTTCCTTGATGATCAGCGAGATTTTACATTCACTTTGCATGCATACATAGCACACGGTGAACTTGTTTTGTGTCGTCAAGACAGCAGCTGGTCTCGCGAACTCCGAGATATATTGCTACGAGAAAAGTAACGTCAAGTCAGAATAGAGCTAAAGCGCCATCTGTTGTTGACGAAGTTTCAATTAATTCAGCACAAATCTCTCAACAAAAAAGTCAAAATGGACATGGAAATTCCAACGAGTTTGTGGACCCATGGACCTCGCCCAGGAGCTTTCTATGACCCTCCAGGTGGCGTAAAAAGTACAAGTACCATCCCAGCTAAGCACACTCTGTAAGTCTTGCATAAATTATTGTACAAAAAAAAAAGGCAATGGTCGTCGATCTTGTTTGAGTCTGACTGAGATGACTGTGCAAACCTTGTCATTGATTTGTATGGAATGAAAAAGGAACACTATTTCCGGTCAAGTGATATTTATTTAATTTAACACCCAATCTGATTTAAATGATGTTTGGCTGAGAAGCAGTACAATACAAACTTTGAATTTTTAAAATTGGTTCAGGTAAACTGGTAAAGCCGGGTTATCGCCAATTCTGTGCAGCTGAAATGACCGTTTTGAATTTTGGTAGACAAAACGGCGCTTGTACTTGTAGCCTTGTTCAGAAACCTATCCTAAATTTGACCCGTAACAGTAAGTACATACCGATGGTGGATTGCGGGCGGGCGAGCGCCTGTGTGAAGTAATCTAGACTACTGTATTATGTCTCAGATCCTCATTACGAAAGATAACTTCACACACTGACACAGGCGCCCGCCCGCCCGCAACCAACCATCGGTATGCACTTGTATTGTGCAGCAGTTTGCCGTGAAACCTGTGAAAAAGTGTATACTAACATCAACGTTTTTGCAAAATATAGATCTACTGCAAAAATAACAAGAAAATTGACACGAAATAGGTAATAAACATAACGACTTTTAACTCATGATCTTTATTTTGACATTTAAATTTAATGAATATTTACTTCCATTTTGGCCTAAATTTGGGTATATTTTAGTAGGGTATGATCTCCACGCCGACGCCGGAGTTATGGGTCAAATTTTAGATAGGTTTCTTAACAAGCGCCGACAAAAGGTATAGGTCTAGATCTAGGCCTAGCGCAATCTTATTATATTCGTTGTTCTAGTGATGGCAAAGCTGCAACACATGGTCTATGGAGAAATTTCATGATGATGTGCGTGTATACAATTTAACGAACAGTGCACACTGCCTTCATTGTTCGCAAGATCTAGTAGTAGAGTAGACTAAGTGAACTCTGGGAATAGTGAACTCTTCTTAGTCTTAATCTTACTACTAGTTAGAACAAAGCACTTTGGTAACAAAATTAACCAAAAATATGAGATTTTGGAATTTGGAGTGATGGCCATTTTGCTTAATTGCCCTACATGTGTTCGTTCATGATGGTAAATGCAAATACATGCGATGTACATTTACATTAAAAAAATGTGCTTACCTTGCAAATTTGATACTTACTTTACAATAATAATAATAAAAAGGGAGTTAGCTAAATTCAGCAAACTCTGTAAATTTGTACTTACATGTCTGTGACGTAAGAGTATTTTTGTTTTTATGTAGAAACCCTATGGTTACTGGAACCTCTACACTTGGAATGAAGTTCAATGGAGGTGTTATCCTTGCAGCAGATATGTTGGGTTCATATGGATCCCTGGCTCGATTCAGGAACATCTCCCGTGTGACTAAGGTCAATGACAACACGGTACTGACAGGGGCTGGAGACTATGCAGATTTTCAATTTGTCTCAGAATTGCTTGACCAAAAAATGTGAGTATTTTAGATAAGTTTTATGTTTAAATTGTGAATGGCAGGAACTTAACCAAAAAAAAAGAGGTGAAGGGGGGGGGGGGGGGGGGCAGGCATGATTTCCCCCAAAGAAATTGCATACTGATTGTTAAGGCTCAATATTTCAAAATACCTGGGCCAGCCATATGAAGAAAAGAAAAATGAATAGGAATTTGAAGGCCTATCAATGCATTTCTGGTGTATCTTATCATTATTTACATTGCCACAAGTCCTTGAACCTGAAGTACTAAAGTGTTGTATGACGTTTTGCATGTAGATCTAGGTACATGTACATGTTTATTTTTTGTAAGAAAATGTATAGTGGCTTAGTAACAAGCATAGAAAGATAAGAAATCCGGGTAAGTAGGCCTGACACCATATGCTTAATACAGGTCACTATCTGCAAATGGTAGTTGTGATTTGTTATTATGTGAAGATGATGCCCAGTAAGTTTGTGCATTTGCTTTTATTTTTACTGGTTCAAACAACCAATCTACTGCAGGATAAACAATCCAGAATAAATCATAGGAATTTTATCTCAAAATGCAATTCCCATACCAGAGCTCAAGATTAGCTTTAAACATTTTGACTCATCCATGTATTGTCTTCTTTCACTCCATTCACCCACAGCATTGATGATGAGTGTCTTAATGATGGACATAGCTTCACTCCAAAAGCTCTCTTCTCTTGGCTTACAAGAATCATGTACAATAGAAGGTCAAAGTTCAATCCAATATGGAACACCATGGTCCTTGGGGGATTCCAGAATGGAGAAAGGTGAGGTGCTTTTTTTTTTGCCACTGGAGAGATTCTTGTTCATTTTCAAGATGACATTACTGATTGTATGATGTCTTTTTGATGGACTAAATTTTGTTCAAAGACAATAGGTTTAGACCTCATTAATGTAGTGGCTCAAATTGTTGAATAAGTCGTGAATGAGATATCAAGTTAAATAATTTGCATATGTACACAATTTATATTTTACATTATTAGTTTGTATATCGTAAGACATTGTTGAGTATTCTTGTTTTTTTTTTAAAGTATCAATGGTAAAAGTCAATTCATTATTTTTGATTTTGTTACGTTTTCTAAACTGATTTGTACCAAAATACTTTGTTTAGCTGTTTAAGGGGTTAGGCTCGACTAGCACATGTGGTATTATCTGGCCCCTTTTACCAACCAATAGTTTCTCTTCTTGTATATGTAAAATCCCTGTATGCAATGTATATGTATTGCTGTTGGTAAATAAATCAAATCAAATAAAATCAAATTCGTGGTTGAAATGTGCATCACTCGGAGAGTTATACTTCCTTGTTTGGGACAAATTAGAATATTGTTGAAAACCAACCTTTACATAATAATAGTCTTAAGATAGCTCTTTCTCAATAGCCAATAACTAGGACATCTTTGGTTCATGTATAATTTGTCTTTTGTTATGTGGTTGTTTAGAATATGTACCTCATTATTTTCTTTACAGTTTCCTTGGTTATGTAGATAAAATTGGAGTAGCCTATGAATCCCCACATGTAGCCTGTGGTTACGGTGCCTACATTGCTCTGGTAAGTGCACTTAGTCATATGTACATAATCCTGTAAGACGATTATTTGATAGTTGGTTAAACATGTTATTAAATCCTAGTTTCATATTAGGCCTATTTCATATGTTTATGGCTCTAGAGGTACTATCTAACCTTTTTAAAAGGTGAAAAAAAAATTTTTTTAAATTATGCATCGGGTCCATCTGAAATTGCTAGCAAAAGAACATATAGGAAATTTTACAAAAAGATAATGTTGTTTAGAGAGAAATCTTCCTCCTTTGTATTTTTTGTTTTGTGAGTGCATTTTTTTGATACACTGGGGAAAAATAACATGAGAACATAGCCGATAGGCTGTTTGATTAATAGATTTGTCATGTTGAGCTTACCTTAATATATCCTTTGAACCAGCCAATGATGCGTGATGCTCATGAGAAGAACAGTAACATGACAGAGCAGGAAGCCAGAGCTGTCGTTGAGAGGTGCCTCAAGGTTCTCTTCTATAGGGATGCCAGATCATTCAATAAGGTAAAGTTGATAAAGGTTATAATACCTTTTAAAGGCAGGCTTTACTACTTCAGCTAGAAAAGATTAGACCACCCAGCGAGCCAGCGAGGTCACTGTGACAGGTGGCTATCTCATTAACTCAGCTCTCATTTAACATAAGAAAGAGGATCATGGGGGACCAACAGGCACCGATTAGGGAAGTTTTCTATATAGAGGGAGCAAGTAGCTACAAGTAGGACAGTGTGCCTTTAAGAGTCCTACAATGTATGGTAGAAAGAGTTTTGATCGATTTGGATCTTTTGCATCTTGAAATCATTTGCAACTTTGTGTCTGATTTGAGGATTGGGGATTGATATGGATCAATTCTCGCTACCCCAAATAGCGATTCTGCCGAGATCCGGGGAAAATCCTGAAAACGCGCATTGCATTATGGGATAGCTTTTCGACATTACAGCTTCCTGTGCAGGCGTTCGTGATCACAACCCTCTCTTTCACGGTAGAGTTTAACGGCCTTTTGTGCTAAAGTCACTAATTCTGCCCGAAGCTTTCCATTGCATATTATAATCTGTACAAATTACACTGATTGGCATCGATTTTAGTGTGCGTGAAAACTCTGCACAGCGAACACAGGCGCTATAGCGCCAGCGGGATGGGACTCTATACCGGAAGTTGTAGTGACGACCCGAGAGAGTGAAAATTACCTCGTCTCGCGAATTTCGAGATTTTCGTACCTATTTAGGGTAGCGAGAATTGAAACTCGTTATTACCGGTAGTTGTGGCCCTGGGGAGTGTTTCACAAAGACTAAGATCAACCTTAAGTTGGACTTAACTATGTCAGGCTGTTCATGCCACTATTTTCTGTCATCATTCACTGGCATTGGTTTCTCAAGGGACTTGCCAATCGTGGTCACAAATCTACAGAATTTACATTGTTTGATAGTTTATTATTGTTGGAAAAAATATTATCTAAAGATCATATTTGAGAGACCAATGGTGAGAACAATTAGTGGCATGAACAGCCTGCCATAGTTAAGTCCAACTTAAAGTCGATCTTAGTCTTTGTGAAACACTCCCCAGATCTGTTTAACATTCATTTGATTGTCACAAAAAAGTTGAACATGATCAGCCTGATATTTGGGCACCATGCGGTTGTTCACAATGTGCATCAAAGTTTGTGCAAACTTTCAAATGACTTAGAATACTTTTTTTTTCTTCATAGCATCTTCCCTCAAATGACAGGCTTGTCTCAAATATCCCTTAGTAACTGAATGAATGATGAAAATAAATGTAGAAATCAGTTTCTTTCTAGTGAGAGCTTTTTTTCCTGGATTTGCTGCATTAAAAGATTAGATTTCCATTGGGCAACTTGTATCTGTTTTCAAATTGTTTCAGCAAACTTCTACTTTTTGGCTTTTAGAGCTAAAATACTCACCTATGAAACAATTTAAAAACAGATACAAGTTGCCTAATGGAAATCTAATACTTTTAAGACTAGAAGTGATATAGATTTTCGTAATCCTAGGTTCATAACGTATTTGTAATAAATAAAAATTGATGTATGCAAAGTAGTAAAGGGTAGTAAACATTGAAGTTTGAATATTTATGCAAAAAAATATTTCATACAGAGAAGTTTTACTCTCAGTTGTATTGAGGTAGATTCCAGAACCTTGAACAATATGTAATGAATGATTGTAATAAGTTCATATCTTATGTCTCTTCTTTCCCCTTAATTTTCATTGTTTTTCAGTATGAGATTGCTGTTGTCACAGAGAAGGGTGTTACTATCGACCCTCCTGCATCATCAAAAACCAACTGGGATATAGCACCAATGGTAGAGTAAGTATCTAATTATATTATTTATAATTCTTGCTATGTTTTAGTTTTTGTCATGCGATTTAGATCATTTGAGGTTTGTGTAAGAAACTCAATAAATTTAAGTAATTGAGATTGGACAATGGATAATTTCTTTGTGGCACATATACATGTATTGTAAAATCATAGTAGCTAAGCTAAAGTGAGGGTTTTGATAATGGAGTGACTCTCATGTCAATTAAAGAAGGATATGATCATTGCAGTCTCAAAAGGGGAATCTTAGAAAAAAACTGTTATATTATCTTTAAAGGTATTATGTAGCTTTGCCTCTGAACCTAAACAAAATCCTGGATTTATCTAATGCTGCAATCATAATTATAAACCTTTAGGTTAGAAATGATTCACTTGACTTTTACAAGCCAATCGCATGTTTGATTATCAAGATATTAATGATTGGAATTCGAAATGTCAAAAAACGTTTTCCAGACGTTTTTTTTTATATAACACAACAGTCTATTCAGGAAAATGGGTATAGTAAAACTGCTCATTCAAAGATTTTTTACTTTTTTGACAAACTTAATGATCATTTTTAAGCGCAATTCTTTCAGGGCTTCAATATTACACCATATCACAGACACTGATAACATGTAGGGCCGTGCTTCTCAGATTTGTAAAACTGGAAACAATGCCTTTAAAACTAGGATGGTATGTAAAATGATCATGTTCTTCCCTTTCCTGTATAAATAATATTACATGCAACAAGGTATTGTACATGAATCAAAATTAATTTTGTATTTCTCATGTATTTCTCTTGCAGGGGATATGAATGACACCACCAGAGCTGAAGAGGCGTACATCTACGTAAATTAAGTAATTTTGTATAAACTTCCTGTAAATCCTTTTTTTTTTGGGGGGGGGGGGGGGTCGTAAATGAAGAAGACATTCATGAAAGAGTATAGATGATTAGGATAACAGTTTCATTATCAGCAAAGTATCTCCATTTCTGTTGATTAGGAGTGGAAAGGGGTACTATCCTAATGTAGCCTTTCTTTGCAAATACATGAAGGGTTGGAGAAAGAGGTCAGCAGAGAGAATGTGTAGTGTTAAGAAACAATTTCTCGTATATGTTTGCATTCCAGCAAAAGTGGAAGTGTTTTCTAAATGTAAGAAAATAATCAGGCCTTCGTCTTCATTTTACCGTTATGTTTCCTTATTCTGTTTGTTGTGGCCACATAGCATAGATATATTTTGCTCTAAGGTGAAGTGGTATAGTTCCCTGACTTAAGCTGATTGTTCTATGACCTAAACAACTTAAACTTTTGTATATAAAGTGCAATTGGTGCACATTATGAACCAGTATATGACCACAAACCATACCAATTGTACCTTAGGTGTTATCTTTAGGTATGTCAAGTACACTGTAGTCCATCTTTTGATGTTATTCTGTAATCCATGGGGTAAATCCACTGTTCCAGCCATAAGGAATTTATTATTAGAAAATATTCTATGAGAACCTATAATATTTAAACAAACTGCATTCAGTTCAGCAAGGTGTTATTTATGTCACATCTGCACATGGTCATAGTACTAACTACTAAGTAATTGTTCCTAATCACGATCTCTCCTGAATTAGTTTATTCCTATTGTGTAGCCATTCAAGGATACATGTATTCAGTTTTCTGTAGATGACTTTGAGGCCTGCTGTTGAATGTCATTAATTTGCCTCATTTTTCAAAATTCAGGTTGTAATTCATATCAAGTTGGTCTGTGTAAATAAACATGAGATAATATTGAAGACGGCTAAGTCGTTAGAGGTTTTGAATTCTGATTAGAAGTAATGGTTAAACCAAGTCACCTGGTCCTGTGAGCAAAGACTACAGCTTTGTGCATGCATTTAGCACAGCAATTCACACATTAAAATGTTGTTGAATGCTATTTCCGTTTTAATATTCAAAGCTGCTTAAATGTTAGGGTTCAATTTGTGAGAAATAGTTTTAGTTGTATCCAACATGAGACAAAAAAGGAATCTAGGAAATATTTGTTATTGAAAAGCTGATGAAGGAAGTTTCGACATAACGACATGTTTCCACCGAGTGTGCAGTGACTTTATGTTTGCTCATGTATCGGAAGGAGATCATGTGAACTTCCTTGAACAGTGGAAAAGAACCTCAGAACATGTATAGTATCCTTTGTATAGTGTCAAGCATTTGCAAACATTGCTGTAAAAGGTTTCTTCAACAATGTTCAGACTTTAGGAATGTCTCATGAAATAGGTTGTGATACAAATTCAATTGTTTCCTCATGTATGATCTTAAATTACAGCAATGCCATGGTAAGGAATTTGTTTTTGAAAATTGTTATACCCTGTTAAATTTATTTGTGTACAAACTGTACTTGTATTATAGCTGAAAGCTCAATGATTAATAAAGACAGTTGATCATACAATTTCCCTTATTGAGTGAAACTATTTCATTTCAGCAACATTTGTTATTTACTGGTATCGAATTAGAAATCCACATTTTGAATTTTATCCAAGCCCGAAGGGTTGTAAATATTTAATAGGTAAAGTTTAGTAAGAAGGGACCTTGGGCATAGATGGGATTTCAGATTTGAAAGTATACTTTCTTATTCGATGAAACTTGGACTAAAGGGGGTTATCAAGTATCCCCAATAATGTGAGAAGAATATCAGGTCATAAAGTCAAGGTCAAAGGTCATTTGACTATGTTGTGGCATCATCAAAAATGTAACCTGAGGTTAAGTTTTTTAATTTTTATCATAATTATGAAAGTATACATTCCTATTCCATGAAACTTTAACATAAGGGTTATCAAGTATCACCAATCATGTGATTAGTCTTTTAGGTGACAAAGTCAAGGTCAAATGTCATCTCAGGTCTGCAAACTTAGATCAAGATTTGCAATTGTTAGCATAATTTCAAAAGTGTTTGTTCAAATTTCATGAAACTAACCCAAGTATCACAAATCATATGACACTAATTCCATATTAATACTTCATATTAATCATTATGGAATACATGATACATAATGTACAAAATATGAACGGACACGTTTAACATGTCTTTTTGGGGTCACAAGGGCGTTAATTCCATGTCAAAATAATATGGATCAATGCCATTGTTGCTCTAAACAGCCGATGTTACATAAATGCGAAATGGATATATAGAATTTAGAAAGAATACATGCGACTAATGTGTAAGTAACTTCATAAAGAAAACAAACAAATGTTATCTGTACTCTACGTTCATATGAAAGCTGTTTAACAAGTATTAATTATGAAAAATGATACAGGAACGAGAGGAATGGTAGGGAGCAGAAGGGGAAAAAAGGAGAGAGGAGCACTGGGAGGAAAAAGAGCAAGGAAGAGGGACAGGAAAAGAAAGAAAAGAAAAGAGAGTAGAACAAAAGAGGGGAAGAAAGAGAGAGAGAGAGAAGGAGAAAAAGAGGAGGAGAAAAGAAAGAAAAGGAGGAATGAGGAGAAGAAGAATAAGAAGGAGAAGAATGAACGTTTTAAACCGTCTTGATAATGCCAATTCTCTTTTGATTAATATTAATGTTTTGGATATTGATAGACTTCAACGTATACAGATTCGAGCAGCCCGTATTGTTTCAAATGAAAGAAAATATGATCATGTGTCTCCTTTGTTTAAACAACTACATTGGTTACCTGTTCACAAGAAAATAATGTATAAAGTTGCACTATTTGTTAATAAATCCATGTATAACCTTATCCAATCCTATATTTCTATAGTCTGTTTTGTCCCATCCACTGGCAATCAAGATATTTATTACATTCAAGGTCAGATCCTCTTCTTCTGCAAATCCCCCGCATCAATTCTTTTTCTGTTCCCAATATTTGGAATAGTCTCCCATTAAGCATTCGTTCCTGCTCCTCAGTCGCATCATTTAAGAGAAATCTCAAAACTTATTTGTTTTCTTCGTAATTTTTTTTTGACAAGGCGTTGTGTGGAGTTATGTGGGATGCGAACGAGGTTGTGTACTGTATGAACCAGACTTGGTTCATGTGGTGCACAACTTTATTGAATTACCTTACACAGCTTTACACAACAAATTTTACAGTGTATGCACTTGGAGAGCAAAATAATTATTCTGTTTTATTTTATTTAGGCGCCTTGAGCATCTCTTGGGGTGGATATGTGCGCATTATAAATGTTGTTATTATTATTATTATTATTATTACAAATGTAAAGCGCTTTGGGCATGTTCAAAATATCAATGGGTATATAATGTATGTATCACTTTAATCATTATTGTTCTTCATCATCCATGTATGGAATATTTGACAATGATTGTAAATTAACCCGGGCATGTGTGAAAGAAACCACCAGCACTTTTTGTAAGGATCATCGCGTAGATACAAGTTTCGGCAACCATCTCTTAACTTTAGCACTTTAGCATTGGAAATCGGCACAAAGGCATAGGCAAGTAAATCGTATTACCTCATAAACTCAACTTATACCATGCGAGTCTAAAAGGCTATACGTGCAAACATAATATGCAACCAAACAAATTTCTGTATTCAAGTAGATATTCATTGATTTTAAAAACTAACTTTATTTTCATTATTGCAAAGTTGAAACTTTGATTCGACAAGGTTATCAAAATTCAATGCTTGGAAACATTCGAAGTAACGATTATTATAAATTACAAAACGCTTAAATACAGCCCCGGCATAGCACCTAAAGAGCTCTCCGAACGCTGCTGAGATGTGTGAGATCACAGTATGGACATAATTTATGTGTTTATTTTGATGACAAATGCAGTGATACAAAAAATAAAGGAATCTGTCGCTTGTAAACAAAATAAGACACCATTGTATATTCAGCTGCACACTAGGCGGTATGTTCGGCGTTTCAAGAGGGAACAAACGCCGTCCTTAAGATCATTTCGTTTTTTTTTCAATCATTGAAAGTCTGGTTTCTTTGATTGTTAATTAACCCCTATCCCGTGTATTTACAAGCAAAGGATTTTAGTTATCAGAATCGGGTCATATCCCCGTTTGAATGGTTTGACATGCCATCACATTTATATACACTAAACTCATTATAATTTGACAAATAATAGCTTTGCAATTATGTTCATTCTTTATGGGATGTCGTCTGCTTGGGCAGTATTGGTCCATATAGTGACTTCATTAAAACATCGTTATTTTTCCGGCGAATCTCTTGTATTTCCCAGCTGCTATGGAGGTGGTTGTATTTGTATTTTTATAAATCACCCGATATGCAGTTGATCTAAAACTTATACGATGGCCATCTGTTAGCTTACCGGTTTCTAGTGATACATTAGTTGACATATTTGTGATTTTCTTTGAATTTCACCTTTCATACATTTCGTTTCCAATTACATTGTACAAATAAATGTGAAGTTCGTGGATTTCATGCGATTTGGAATGAATATGTGGAAGCGGGGTCTATTCGCTATTCATAAGGACCGCTATTCATAAGGTCCGCTATTCATAAGGACTGTTATTCATAACGTGTAAATTCCCGTACTTCCTGGTCCGCTATTCATAATGGCAAAAGAGGGTCGCTATTCATAAAGAAATAAGGTTCGTCAATCATAAGGACCACTATTCATAACGTGAGATGAGGGTCGCTATTCATAATTCATATTAAGGGTCATTAATCATAAGGACCGCTATTCATAATATGAAATCAGGGTCACTATTCATAATACGACGAGAGGGTCGCTATTCATAATACGAAATAAGGTTCATTACTTATAAGGGTCGCTATTCATAACACGGGAAGAGGGTCGTTATTCATAATACGAAATGAGGGTCGCTATTCATAATAAGAAATGAGGGTCGCTATTCATAATAAGAGAAGAGGGTCGCTATTCATAATAGGAGAAGAGGGTCCCTATTCATAATAGGAGAAGAGGGTCGCTATTCATAATAAGAAATGAGGGTCGCTATTCATAATAGGAGAAGAGGGTCGCTATTCATAATAGGAGAAGAGGGTCGCTATTCATAATACGAAATGAGGGTCGCTATTCATAATACGAAATGAGGGTCGCTATTCATAGTAAGAAACGAGGGTCACTATTCATAATAGGAGAAGAGGGTCGCTATTCATAATAGGAGAAGAGGGTCGCTATTCATAATAGGAGAAGAGGGTCGCTATTCATAATAGGAGAAGAGGGTCGCTATTCATAATAGGAGAAGAGGGTTGCTATTCATAATAGGAGAAGAGGGTCGCTATTCATAATAGGAGAAGAGGGTCGCTATTCATAATACGAAGTGAGGTTCGCTATTCATAATAGGAGAAGAGGGTCGCTATTCATAATAGGAGAAGAGAGTCGCTATTCATAATAGGAGTAAGGGGTCGCTATTCATAATACAAAATGAGGTTCGCTATTCATAATAGGAGAAGAGGGTCGCTATTCATAATACGAAATGAGGTTCGCTGTTCATAATAGGAAAAGAGGGTCGCTATTCATAATAGGAGAAGAGGGTCGCTTTTCATAATAAGAGAAGAGGGTCGCTATTCATAATAGGAGAAGAGGGTCGCTATTCATAATACGAAATGAGGGTCGCTTTTCATAATAAGAAATGAGGTTCGCTATTCATTATAGGAGGAGAGGGTTGCTATTCATAATAGGAGAAGAGGGTCGCTATTCATAATAGGAGTAAGGGGTCGCTATTCATAATACGAAATGAGGTTCGCTATTCATAATAGGAGAAGAGGGTCGCTATCCATAATAGGAGAAGAGGGTCGCTATTCATAATACGAAATGAAGGTCGATATTCATAAAAAGAAATGAGGTTCGCTATTCATAATAGAAGTATAGGATCGCTATTCTTAATAGTTGCCCCCCCCCCCCCCGTGGCTACGTTCCTGGTCCTGTAGGGGGGGCGTCATATAACCCTGAATAGTTGTCTCTTTTTAAAGTAGTTATATTTTATCTGTTATCTTTGATAATTATATAGAGCTCATGTGGTGAGAAAAAATAAAAGTAAAACATAACACACATGTAGTCCTATCGTAAATAATTGTCCTCCTTGTTGGAAATCTTGCCCCACCACCCTGCCCCCGACTGATCTTATCCAGGCTACGCCACTGAGATATTAAGTACGCCAAGCAGGCCCATTATCCATTTTAGCTTGCTATTTAAGAAACTAGTAATTGTTTATACGACAATAATTTTTTTGTAGAAAGTAATTTGTATTAGGACTTATGGACCTACAAACTATTGAGCGGGATTGGACCTGACCATAAGCCTAGTATCTACCTACCAAGCCCACTCCCCCCCCCCCCCCCGCCATCAGTACGCCCCGGCGCGGATCAAGAATTTTCCAATAGGGGGGGGGGGGGGGGGCTGGTGACCAAAATGATGGGACACGTTCATTATTTAGGCATGCCTTTCTTTCTTCAGAAATGTGAGTTTTCAATAACTATTT